ATAATACAATTATTTATTTAATCATTTATTTCTTATTTCACTATTAAATAATAATATTAATGTTATACTTTTTAACTGTTAAATAACAATTACATTTCGTTCAGTAGTTTTGTGACACTTATTTGTACATAGAAAATTGCTATGTGCATAATACTCACTAAATACTGATGTATGTATAATGAGACTGGTAATCTGGTTTATATTATATAGTTTACGTTCTTCATTCGCATTATTTTTATTTGAATTTTGATTTTCATCCGCGTTCTTATTCGCTAATCTGGTATTTCTAATATCACAGTGGAATCGATAAACTTGCGATGAATAATATAAGCTTCAAATATTAAAAAATTATATCCTATAATTAACTAATGTAACTTATTGAAAAATTAATGCCCTGCAACATATTTTATCAATATTATTTTATTCAAATTTACGCTGTATTTATAGACCTTAAAAATGTATACTAATAAACACAATAAGTTTGCTTTTTATATTTGTAAATATCATTTTACACATTTGTAACTTGCATTCACTGCATTTAATAATTGCAATGCGTGTTGTGACCATAAAAGAATTTTCACAACTACTGTAGTTAATTACATTAAACGCAATTGTTTTCTACCAAATGAATTTTTATTTTTTTACAGAAGCAAACGATAACTATAATAAATAGACAGGTAAATTATCATATATTTAAGTATAATCTAGATTTTTACGCATTTTACAAAACTACAAATTCAACACTAAATCGCTTTTCAAACATTAAAGATATACAAAATTTAAATAAATCAATTGCAATGTGATTTCGTTTGCTTCTATGCAAAATTTTTAATTAATTTAAAAAAATTGAAAATTTTGTAAAGTATATTTATTGTAATTTACGTGTTATAAATATCTTAAAAACTCCATAACAAAACTTAAGCATAATAGTAATCACTTTTAGTAACAAATATGTTATGGAAGTTAAGGATGGGGATGAAGGTTGTAGTTTAAAACGACTGTTAAGATTAGAAAACGATTATCAATGTTTTGAAAAAATTGTGGTTCATCGTACTAATGACCGCTCTATGTACAGAAATGTTTTATTCTTAAATTATGCACAAATTGCAATCAATACAAATGTATCTGAAACAAGCAAGTTGGGGGATATCTCAGTTTTTTTTGGCTGCCATAAGAATATTCAGATAAAATGGCAGCAGTTTTGTTAGGTGTCAATGTGTTGCATCAACCGCCATGCGCTTTTGCAAAATCCATAAGACACGTCCGATTAGTTGTTGTCATATCCGGAAGAAGAGGTAACTGTTTTAAATTGACAGGTAATTTTTCATATTCACTGATAACCAATTTAAAACAGTTAGCCATATCTATTTTATAGCTTAGTATAGTAAAGCTAGTTTATTTTTTCAGACATCCACATTTCGACTAAGTAGTATTATAGTAATAAAGGTATGCGCTAAGTCTGCACTTCAGCTAGATATCATAAAACATGTATCATTCCTTCTCTGGCACATCATACATTGGTATTACTAAGTATACGTTTACTTTCTTTTTAAATCATGCGAAACAATGCAGAAACGAACGTCATATCAAATCCTAATATTTGATATAGTATGCTTAGACTGTAATAAAAAAAAGACTAAATTACGTGAAAAGTGAACCCGGAAATAAAAACCGACTTCTTGTGCACACCCATTTGTGTTCTTTCACAATCAAATAAGTCATTTTAGCATTCATCATGGTATTATTAATCAACACTCAGTATTGAAACGTAAAAATCTAGTGTTGTTAAATAACTCTACTAATAATCATAAACCAAAAGAAAAAAAAAACTCAATCTTGTGAAGTAAATAGAAGGAACATCATTGGGAACACCTTTTAACCAAGATTTCATGCAGCTGCCGCCTACCATTGTTATAACTAACAATGGAAATGCATCTTTTTCTTGCATCACATTATGTTTTGTCCTAGTTTAGTCGCAAAACAGTTATATTCAAGATGTTTAATAACTTTTTTAAAAACATGGATATAAAATAACACAACACACGTACCTCTATTCATAATATATATTAAAATATGTCAAAAAATTTGTATTGCAATCATTGCAGTACTTAAGAAAATAAAAATGACATTGAAATCGATTTCATCCTGCATTCCTGTACGTATTGTGTTATTTTTTCTTTTTTTTCTTTTGTAAATACAGCGACACATCTAGGCAAAAATTGTTCGAATTGATAATTGACGTACGAGCCACGAATATCCAGCCTATTATTAGATCATTTCACAAGTGATTAAGAGGTACTTTATAGTACATCCGAATTACTGTCACACAAGTTGGGAGCTTGGTATAAAAATGAGGCACAGTTTCACAATCAGGGGATTCTTTTTTACCAGATGCTTCTACTATCTCCCAATGAATGTATCCATATATCAAACATGATAGCATAATCACTATCATTAAACTAAACCATGCATGGATATTAATATGTGTCCTTAAATGTGTTTAAGGAGAATGACGATTTCTTAAACAACTGTCGTATTCTTATCGGTAGCAAACAGTCTTAACAACGAGCGTAGACTAATCATGTCGCGTTCCATAATCGTGTAGTCCTTGCGTAGGTATGCGTCATGTTATGTGCTGGGTGTTAATAGCTCTCATCAAGTGTAGTGTTATATGTAAGTAGCAGTTGTTGACCACAATGGTTGTTTAGCCACTGGTACCATTAACCAGAGCTTCCTTAGGCTTATTGCTCTGTTGCATACGAGGAGGACGAAATCGTAGTTCTCTTTGGCCTTTAGGACCTTGAGAACTGTTGTTAGTAGTAGAAACGTCATTTGCTGGTGTTCCTTCTTTACTAGTTACAGTTGATTGGTCTGCTGGGCCGGCATTACTGCCTGAACAAATACATACATTAAGTGTTTTTGTGTAAGTATTAATGCTCATTCTGAAACACATACTTAATACCATGTCCAAATGTTATACTCTATCGAAACCGATCGTCCTAAAGAATGTTATGAAATTTCTCGGCTCTGTGTAGTTACCTTTTTGATTATTTGTTGGTGTAGAACTACGTTGTCTAGAACGTCGAAGTCGCCTTCGCCTCGTGCCTTTAGGTCCTCCCTCCACGCTTGATACAGATTCTATGCATATACAAACCATTGTGACCATCTTTTTATATTATAGTACAAACACATTACTGAAATTCAAATATTCTTATAACTGATTATGTAAAAAGCTACATCGCATACGTTAGTAGCGTGCATTAGTAATCATTGATATTGTTAGTGTTAGATGGTCACAAGTGTTTGTTGCACAGTCCATGCCACTCTCAAAAGCACCTTACTATTGCATGATCTTTAGGACGAAACGGTTATTCTACTATGAAGTACTATCTGAAAAATGTTATTACCTCTATCAATGCTTGAAACATCTTGACTATCAAGAACTGTGTCTTCATCATCAGTTGTTCGACGACGTTCATCTCTACGATCTCTACGTTGAGTTGGAGGACGACCTTGTCTACCCATGTACCCTGAATTGCCTGCACCTCCTTGATGACCACCTCTTGGAGGTAGATCCCTTACTCGATCTTCACTACCATCTAAGGTATCTCGACGTAATCCTGTAAATTAAACAATATTTATAACAAAAACTAAGTTAAAACGTTAACACAACATGATGAACATAAACATTTTAATGGTTTTGTAAAACAAACGTAACGATGAAAGATTAGTATCCTTACTTGTAGTTGATGATGATCAATGTAGCATTTAACACATTAGCAATGATGCTTCCCACGATAACAACTAAGGGTATTAATTGGAAGTGAAGAGGCATCTTTGGAATCAAGTTCACTAATTTTTAAATTCCTTCTTCTACCATTAAATATTTATACTTATATAAATTCGCACGAATTTAAGTAAAAAATAAAATATTAATGTGTAGTACTAAACTACACAAGATAATTTTATTATATTACATTAATGTAAGTAAAGATATTTGTAAAATGCACGTAATCGTTATTATCTACTATTTTATAAGTTAAAAATTAGATTCACGAGGAGGATTTTACAAGATAAATTTTATTATAAAACGTATATAAGTACATTTTTAATAAAAATAATAACATAATTGTTCCTTAATTTCTTATCTATCAACTTGCAAACAACCTATATAGATAAGACAACATTTAATTTTGTTGATGTTTAAAATGTAATTAAAGTTAATTACATTCAATATATCATTTAGTGAAATGAAGGATTCAAAAGCTGTTATACAGGTATATATCATAAATTTGACATGGAATATTTGTTACTTCATAAAAATTAATTACTCTTAGGATATATGTGATTAGACAATTCGCACACAAAACAAAATTATATACCTTATTTATTTATTTCTCAAATAACCAATAAATCAAATGTATCACACACCATGAGTTACTTAGCTACTACATGCATTTCCATTAAACACATGCATGCAAATGCATATGGTTGCACAGTTATTTTCTATTATGTTATAACTCCATGTTCTATGTAATGACATGTTTACAAATGCGAATTGTTAATGTACCTATAGACATTAACTGAGACAATATAAAGTAATTATGACAAAACACAATGAATTACGAATAACGATGTACAGGTAAAAAACTAAATAGCTGAAACGGTTTTATAACAAGTGTAGCTTCAAATCTATATAATCAAACAGTAAAAAATGCTAACGACTATAAAAAAATATAAATCAATGTCAAATTCTTTTTAAACAAATGAATCATTCTGACTTTAACATAAATAAAAATTATGAATAAATTAATACACTAAAAAAAATGATTTTATTTGTATATGTTTCAATCAGTATTTTTTATGTTTATATTGATACATTTACGAATTTTTAAGCTTTTAACTTTTTGAATGTTGTAAAGAAACTTGTAAATATATTATTTAAAGAGTATTTCAAAGAATGAATTACAGTAAAAACTCGTTTATCCGAATCCCTATCATTGAAATTTCTCATTTATTTGACTCAACAGGTAAAAGAAAAATAATTCTTTAGAAAATATGTATCAATGTTAAAAAAAAGAATCTTTTCAAGTGACATTCTTCAATGTACAGTTACATATGTAATTTATTTTATCATTCAACTGTTAGGCGTAAAGAAGTATTTAGATACATACAATTTTTCTACAGATTATTAAAAGTACATAGTTCATTATGTAATAAAGACCGAATAAATTATGTATTATGTTAAGTCACGTATGTTACACGAAAAATATATTTGCATTGTATTGAGCGTTGTGTAGATTAGGAAGATGATAACAGGAGTGAGTATGAGATAATCTAGATTTTCGTTTATTCAGATGAAACAGTCGTCCCACCAAATCCGAATAAATGAGTTTCTACTATAAATCTTGTATAGTAATAATCCTAGCATTGATTTAATTTCAACAATTCATCAAATGTTACTTTGTGACAACACGCCCTCTGTCTTTAAAATCTCTGGGTTCTCTACTGTCTCTCGTGTTGGGTCCACCGCTTCTGCCATTACGTTTTTGTGTGTTCTCTACATTGTTGATATAGTCAGTAATAGTATTACCGGCATTGTGTCTGGTAGAAGGCCTACCCCTGCCACCACGTCCACGAGATTGGCCACCACGACCTCCACGACCTCCACCACCTTCCTCCGGGCCTGCAATCATTCCTCGTCTTGTTGGAGGAAAATTGGGCATTGGTCCTGTTGTTGATCCATGCATGCTTCTTAATTGTTGGTCAATTTCTAATTTCTCTTGGCGTAACTGTTCTACTTCCTTTAAAACAAATAATACAAAATTAAAATAATGTATAAATTAACCATATTATTTCAAATATAATACACTGAAATTGAAGTATTTTATATTACTATACCTTCAAATGCGCCAAATGATATTCTAACAGCATTTTGGCATTGGCAATACTTTCAACAGTACCAACAAATACAAAGGGCACCTGACCCTCTTCTCTTGGAATCGTTGGTTGCGGTTCATTGTCTCCTTCTATCTTTACTCGTACCTGAAATTTATAAAACTGTCTAAATTACCTTATTAATCATATTAAGAACACATTTTATATATGTATATGTCAATGTATAAACTTAATGTCTAATTTATAATATTTATTTCTTGATTATTTATTATTAATATCTACATTGATTAATTTAATTTTTGTTTTCGAAATGAAAAT